TTACAAAGCTTAATTACCAACATCGTCACCCATTAGTATGGGGACTCCCTATTTCCTGTCCCTATTAGGGACAGGAAATATCGACGAGTGTCAATAATCGCACAGTGAGCAAAACGTTAAGGTACAGGTATCACATCGTACTGTTCCAATGTGTCTTACCCTCCGTCACTGTTCGTATGAACCTCCAGCATCCATAACAAGCCAATGACAACCAATACACTACTTTCACTCTCCGTTGTTTCCTAAGGGAATAATATTCCAAAGATATATTATATCTTTGGCTACCATGCAGGCACCCCAGCTCGCTTCTAGGGTTTCCTACTTGAAGCAACCCGAGTAACAGCACGGATATCAACGTCCGAGTATGCTCTAAGGCAGCACTCATACGCAGCGCCATGCCGAGCATGGCGAGCACGATAGGATATGAAGCAGAGCCTGGGGAGGTCATGTTCACAGTTCTTCATTGGTAGCTGTCAAATTGTAAGCGATATAGAATGGAGACAATTGACAAGGCAAGAAAGCTCGCATAGTGAAAGGTGCGAAGCTCAAATACCCCTCATGTATACAGCACACATCAACGAACACAACTTTTCATCTTCAGCACAAACGGCCAAATTCACACGTTTCTGAGAAAAGATCTTCGCTTTTTCATGTTCGTGGCTTGTGAAACAGACCAAAGAACTTAGAAAACCACGCGAATCGTAGATGCACTCACTACAACGGCAGCCGACAGCGAAGTTGCGAACGCTCCTCAGGCTGAGGTTTTGTGTCTGGTTCACAAGAACCTGCCAGTTGGAGTCTTTCGACGGCGAGGTGTTCTGGAGCCTCTTACCGCGGTATTTGAGGTCATCCCAGAAAGCTTAGGGCAGGTGAAGCACCCGGCGACAGGTTGATCTGGTCCGCGTTCGAGATACCCGACAAGGAATCGCAGCTTGCAAGAAGAGTTCCCGTCACTGCAAATAAGAAGCAGATAAAACGCATGAATTCTGGAGCTTGGATGTACTTCGAAGGTAGTGAGTAAAATGTGAAGTGAGTCCCGACAAAATCGTCAAAATGATGACTGTAGTCAGAGCGCAACCAGTGTGTAGTATTCGTCGAAGATACAGGTAATGTACTCACGGTGCTATGGAGTGCTTACGGGACGGCAATATCGCCAATGTTTACCGGAGGCATGAGGGAGCACAGGTACATGTATAGCTCAAAAAAATCGTAGCAAGCTTAATTCGTAAAAAAAAAAGGCCGCTTTAAAAAAGCGAAGGTGGCCTGACTGCTTAAAATACGTGTAGTCAACAGGAATTCATGCCTACATTTCCTACAGTCGCTCCCACACACAGCTTTACTATTTTACTGAGGAAGTCATATCATTGTTCGAACGTAATAATTGATCTCTTTGGTTTGACTAAAGATGGCGTAGGAGAAGGCGATGCTATGCTAACGCTGTCTCTTTCTCGTATAACAGATGATATAAACTCACTGTACACACCGCTGACTCAACATACCAATGGTAATTACAGAAGCTATTTAAGTGAAGAATTCAGGACGAATAGTCACATGCCTCCAGTGAATCACGGTTACCTAGCTAGTATGGACCATACTGTTTGGACATGTGTGTGTGCTGAATTTTTTTTAAAAATATCAAAAGAGGTGCAGTAAAGTCGTTGTGTCAGAACAAATCTACAATATCTGGAACATGATCATGCCTTTCATACAGTACTGAAACATTTAGTGTATGCTGTGTTTGAATGGTTTAGGCTTTTTACTTGAAAAGTCAATTCCAAAAAAATGTTAGCTTTTGTTATTAAATATTTGTCGTTTTACTACTAGTAAAAAAAAATAGGGAAATGTTTGTCGTTCAGACATCAATACTACGTAGTACTTCGAAGTACATGTTGCCCTCTTTTAACTTACAGTACTGTATCGGATGCTTGCTTTTACAGCAATAAGCACTGAGTCAACTCGTACATGCACCAGCTGACTCAACAGTGTTGTACTTGATTGTGCACCCTCCCGAGCCTGTACGAAACTCGAATCACGGATTTTCTTATATAAATCCTCCTTATAACTCGAAAAAAAAACTGAGAGCTCAATCCACTGTGAAACTAAGGACTTGTAGAGTACGATAACTGGAACAAGATGGGGAAGCTGAAATAAAGTAAAAGAGCGTCAATGTAGCAGAACAGAGCTAAGATTTCTGGAACATGAGAATGCCTTCCTTATACAAAGCCTTCGCGAGCTCTGTCTGGTCTTGGGGATCTTCGTGAGGCATGTCACCTACGCGGAAGTAGTCAGGGTAGCTGCTGAGAATAAACTCGATGCTCTCGGCATCATCCAACTCGAACTCAAGCGGCGAGATAGGAACTTCGTGGTGCATACGGGAGTTCTCGCGGCAGTGATAAAGCACAGCTTTTCCATCCTCAATCACAAGACGCGCAACGCCGTGTCGTATCAGCTTGAGCTGAGTGTTGACCGTAATCTTTTGCAGTGGGCTATTGTCGCTCGTGCAGTTCTCCTCTTCGTCCTCAAGTGCCGGTGGCAGGCGGTCAACCAGGAAGTTCTTGGCCATCTGGTCTGACGCAGCGTCCAGCATTCCCATGGCATCACCGAGCACAGTCTTTAGTGCACCCTTGAGCTTGTTAGCGAATGCCTGTCTCTCCGGATCGCCTTCCCGATCCGAGTGCATGACTCCCATGTAATCCAAATAATCACGAGGCAGCGAGCGTCGCAGTTCCACATTAGTGTTAATAGCACCGGCCAATGCTTGAGGCAGCAGCACTTCCAGGAAGTTACCCATGCTATTCTGTTGACCGGTAGACACGGTCAAGTGCAGCGAGTGCTTCTCCTTGTGTGCACGTGCCTGGTGAATAAAACCGCGAGGGAAATACAATAAGTCTCCCTGTTCCAAGTCCACTTCAAGCGTGGGTTTGCCGAGGTCTTCCGGCTTGTAGTTTCCACTTGGATACCTCGCCAACATGTCGCTCTCATTCAACGGTTTGTACACCTTCCAATGTTTGCATCCTTCTGTCTGCAGTAAGAAAGCCTCAATGTCATCAAAGTGAGGTGCGAACCCTTGTGTGTTCTTCGGAGTCAAGTAGGTATTGGCACCAGCCATGCAGCCCCATTCATCCTCCAATGTGGCCAACAACTTCCACACATTGTCCGAGAACTTTTGAGGACACAGGAGACGGACCGAGCAGCCGTCATCGTAGTGTTTCCACACCTGTTTAGCCGTTGCAGCGCCCGATGGGTTGAGTGTGTGGCGGGTGTTGTCCACATACTTGGTCAGGTCCAGATCAGTGCCGTACTCGAGCGTGTGAGTCTTGAGGATACGGTCAATCTCCTGCTTGCTGAACCATCCGTCATAGTAGCTGGGGAAATTACGTTTGATGGCCAATGGGCGCTGCTCCCAGTAGTTCTGGTAGAAGTCCTCTGGGGTCACAGGGTATAGTAACCAAGTGAGCAGCATTCGAGCTTTCGTGGCGCTGTGGACGTCCGTTTGAGACACGAGTTCATGTGCATCCACAACTTCATCGGCGGATATATCCTTCTGGATGAGGAGCGGGACGGAAGAGGAGGAAGAGGCCTTGCGCTTCTTGGCAGGAGGCGCAGAGGTCGGAGGCTTGGCTGCAGTCTTGCCCACCATTGGTTTGAGCTTTGATTGGCAAAGATGGCTATTATCAATCGGCCTCGATTAGGTACGAATGTGCACCGTATCACAGTAATATGAAAAATATCGTTTTATTTAATTTCTAGCAAATGAGTAAAATATATACATGTATATATAAAATACTTTCGAAAAAATATATATTTCCTGTCCGCATGTATCACCCTCACCGCAATTGTAAGGAGCGAACCTGACGTCGCGAATCTGTAGACTGCATGCTGCAGCGCTTTGCGAATCTACAGTCAACTTCGGGTTGATTCGTAAACTAAGTCCGTTGTTGCCGAAAACGTACGCAAACAAGGTTGTGAGATCGATGTCCACTGCAGAGATCTCACGGTGTCCCATCCTGCGTGTGATCTGGGCTAACATGGTCGCCTTATGTGCTGTTTGTACTAAGCAGGACTCATGCATCTAAAAGCAAACAGGAATAATCTCAATTCACTTCATCAGAGTGCTTGGCCTGCCGCATTAATAACCGCACCCTTCGCTGAAACGATTTAAAGAAAGGTTTCACAAACCAACTTGTGGGGTGAATGAGTTCTCATGTTCAGCTTGCGCGTGCCTCCTGGCATCTTTCGAAGCAGCGTCTGGATTTTCATCCGATCGTGAACTCGGTGAAATATCGATAACCCGTTCGATTTATCCATATCGGTAATTACAGGTCTTATTTTAACGAATCCTCTAAAGCACAAACTCCTCCTATCTTTCAAAACCACTAGAATCGAATTAGGAAGGTATGCTCTATAAGGTATGGGTATTTCCGTCGTGCCAGGTGTTTGACACCTTTACGGCTTGCATTCGATGGGGTGGGACATTCAAAAGCAGTTTACGTCGGCAGCAGCTTGCCCAGTTCACAATTGACGCTGTTCCGCCCTCCACTCCTAACTACTCGAATACGATGTGCCCGCTGCGCTACATTCTGCTGCTGCTTTCGCTGCTGGTGGCCATGATCGGGCTCTCACAAGCTATGACGGACCAGGAGGTCTCGGCGCTCACGGAGGACGGAGAGGACGAGAAGAGCGGCGGCAAAGGCAAGAAGCAGCAGTCGACCTTCCGCATGCTCGTCGACATGCTCAACGGCAAGTACCTGTACGACGCCTACAAACTCAGCCGGGGAACGGCAGCGATTAAGGCTGACTAAACTATTAGAGCAAGCAGCGGTCGCAAGAACACTCGACCCCACCCCGTGATCTGGAGGTGGAAGGGCATTTCGACGCCGCTGTGGGAGTCTCAACCACCATGAATAGATGATTTTATGTGAAGATATGCGTTCGAGAGCTGAGTGAATGTACGCGTGACTTGGGGGAGGCAGAAACGTTAAAACAGCGCGCAGTGCGCTCTGGTGTACGTCTAGCTAACGAAAATACAAAGTCCCCATGATGTTCAACTAGTTCCAATGCTTCACAGTTGTGAGCTGCACGACCTCATTAGGCAAAAGAAGCTGTATATATTTGACTCATCGTATCCGTTCGTCTACGACGGGCGCTGACAGACGTTGCCCGAGTTCATGACAAGCGGTTCGTTGGCCGACTTCTCCGTCAGAGGCATGATCTCCTCGTCCTGGCGCATCGCCTTGCGCTGCGGGTCTGTAAGCTTCACCTCGAAGCGCGGTGCGACTTCGCCCTCCTCCTGCTTGGCGCGACCCTGCACAATGTTGTGTAGCAGCATACTCTCGGCCTCGTCGATACCCTTGACTAGCTCGTCCAGCTGCTCCTTGTCGCTCACCTGGCTGTTGGCCATAAAGTTGTCACGCAAAGCCGCACGCGCCTGCTGCAGCGCGTACGCGTCTCCACGGAATGCCTGACGACTCGCCCGCAACAGGCGACGGTAGCCTCCAAGCACTTGCACGCGCACGCTCATTATTCCAATAAGCAATTCTGCGGCTAGGAAATATTGCCCATCCAACATCATACAATACGCCATACGACAAGTAGTTTATGTTTCAACACCATTATGTGTGACACACAAACTACACTTTTTGATGGCACCATCATTTCGCTGGCAATGACGCAATGCTCATTCGGAATCTTGCTTTGACTCAGTAAGACGATGGACGCGCTGTTGGCTCTAGTGGGCGGGGACTTCCGCGTGCTTCTGGGCGTTGCGCTCGTGGCAGGCACGACGATCTTTATGTTGCTGGCGAATCTGAAGCCACGAGACTCGACGCCCGTGACGCTGCAGGCTCCCGCTAAGCCGGGGGACTTGCCCCCGACCGTACATCTGCCACTAGTGGAGAAGCAGACGCTATCACATGACACGCGTCGCTTCCGCTTCGCTTTGCCATCTCCGCAGCACATCCTGGGACTTCCTGTGGGTCAGCACATCTCTCTACGTTACACCGACAGCGAGGGCAAACTGGTGATGCGCTCGTACACCCCAGTGAGCTCGGACGACACCAAGGGCTACGTGGATCTGGTGATTAAGGTTTACTTCAAGAACGTGCACCC